CATTTACCACCGCAGGGTGCGTAGGAAAGATGCCTCTATCCTCAAAGATTCCACCCATCCCCAGCACAGACTGTTCGCCTCCCTACCCTCTGGCTGGAGGTTCAGAAGTGTGAAGTGTAGGACCACTAGACTGAAAAACTATTTCTTTCCCTCTGCCATCAGACTCCTAAACAGCTGAGGAGTTTATTACCAGGAAATACGTGATGTACTGTCGACCTGCACTGTTTACATTCTCAGTTTGCACATGCATAATTGCACATTGACTGTTGACTACTGCACATGCAGCATATATTCTCTTATTATATTTTTATTATATTGCTGCATTTGCTGCTTAAAGTGCCTTAATTTTGTTACTTATTTATCTACTTCATATTTCATTTGTATTGTGCGGCATTCATGTGGATGGCAAAGTAAGAATTTCATTGTACAGGGAAACATGTTTCCTAACTGTGCATATGACAAATAAACACTTTGACCCTTGACCCTTTGATTATAGAAAAGCAAACTGAACATTCTCTCCTTATGATTGTGCTGCAGCTGGGCTCTGTGTCAGGTCGAACTGGGAGCTGTACTTAATCATTCTGTCACCAGTACTTTACAAGCCAACTAGAGGATTTTGAAAAAGCACCAACAATGGTTAAATTAAGCACTGACAAGGTAGCCAATCATTAAACCGCCCTTGCTTTGCTAACCATTTTTAAAGAGCATGAAAGAGCACACATGGTGTGATTTATGTAACATTAGCTAATATTGACCCACCTAGATGGGTTTATTGGTTAAGAGATGTTGTAAAGGTTTAAACAACATAGGTACTTTTCAGTGTTAATAATTTGTGGTTCCCTGTCACTAGGCCTGGGCGATAAAATGATAACGATTTATACTGCAATTGGCACTTATTCAGTAACGATAAGAAGTTTGTTTGACAGGTTGGCAGGTTTTTAACGAGTTTTTATGAGTGAAGACCACATAACGGTGATTAACCTCACATGAACAAGCCTGAAGCGTACTCCCTCCCTAGCTCATACATGCAGTGTGCAGTTGAAAATGCAGTGTTCCACAAGTGATATGCAAACAGCCAATCGGGTATATAGTTCGGTTGCCCCTTCAACATGCAACACAACAACAGAAGCAGCATGGAACCTGAGGGAGAAGAGGAGTCGAGAAAGTGTAGAAGAAATTATCAATAAAAAAAGGACAGGTCAGCTTGGCACTATGGCAGTTTTTTGTTTTTTTCAAGTCTGACCAAGATCAGAGCACAGCCGAGTGTAAACTGTGTAGGAGAACAGTTCCGATCAAAACCGGGAATACGACTCTGTCTTATCATCTGAGCTGCTTCCATTCACTGGAGAATGCAGCCTGTTGGCCAGGTTCTTCTCCTGTGAAATCTCAAGAAATAACCAATCGACTGTGGAGAGGTCCTCTCCTTCAAATTTACATTTTATCTTTTGTTCACCTACTTTGAGAAGTTTTTATTATAAAGTTTGTTATCTCTCTCAAAGCTGACTTTGCAAGAGTTTATATGCCTATTTATTGCCATCTCACTGATGTTAGGTCAGTATACCAGTTGATTTTAATTGCTTTCTTTAATTAATGTGAATCAAGGTGAGATTGTACCTTTATCCTTATTTATTTTTATTTAAGGGGAGCATCTCCCCATCCTTGTGTGACTGATTAACAATAAAGTGGTTTAATTAAACCCTTTTCTTCTGCTGTCTAATAAAAATATAGCCTTGTACTAGCTCATTAAAATGATCTGTAATTATCTTTAGACTAATATGAAAAATATGATGGTGATAATGTGATGCCCACCAATGTGTGCCCACATTTGTATGAATGTGTATTTTACTTTGATATAAAACATGTAACAGTTGTTCTATCTTCTCTTGAAGAGATGTTTGGTACCGTTGACATGCCAATAAACAGTATGGTATCCGTAGTCACACCACTTTTGACAGTAGGTGGCAGTGTGGGTTTGTTGTTTACTCCAGGGACTGTAGACGGGAGCGCACGCACCGCTATTCCCTCATAATGGCGGAGAACATTGAAAAGAGGAAACACGTCTCCCTGTCTTATGATTTCTTTCCTGTATTACAGGTTAGTGTTGAACAAGAAAACCCCACAAAACTGCTAGAGTCAATAAGCAAATGTTGAGTTATGATTCAAGGGTGAGTGGTAGAGTGAA